TGCAGTGGTCATACAATATTTGAAACTTTTTATTGATTTAGAATATTTTCTATTTTACAACGTATAAACAACTTACAAAGTTTTATATATTTTATATATTTATTATATCACGTTAACGTTATTGTAATGTTATTTATATAAATTTTGAATGTATTATTGTGTATATGTGTATACAGCACATTGTCGAGTTTTATTAAAGAGAATCGCTGTTTATAACTAATTACTTCTATATAATATACAGAGTCCCATTATAGGAAATTTTTTTCTTGATACTTTTACAAGCAATTTCCTATCAGTATCATTCTTTCATAAGATGTGTAAACAACTGCTTGAAAATGCAAGGTTACCATTTTGAGCATTTATTGCAGTGAGTTTTACAGGTGAGGTGGTATTAACAGTTAGAAATAAAACAAAAATGTTATAATAAAACATTTTGAAAAACAAATAAATTTTGTTGTATCTTAGAGTACGGAAGTCGGATAGAAAAATGGTTTAGATAGAAGTTGTTGGTTTTTTTACATAGAATAAGATGTCGTAAAGAAAAATATGGATTTCCATTTACAAAACCAAAATTGACCTCAAATTGACCTTGAAAACATCCACCAACTCAAAAATCAGTGACGCTATTTTGTTTCCCCCTCAAAACCAAGCAAGTTTTGTCTAAACTATTTTCTTTGAAAATGCATAGTTCTCGCGATATTCCAAGTGATACATTAAAATGAGACACGCTGTATATGTATACATAGAGTTCGTTCCGTTTCACGCATATGCGCGCATTTATCTATAGTATACGTCACGTATAGTATAGACAAATGCGCGCATATGCGTGAAACGGAACGCAGCTATAAGCTCATGTGCATATGAAATAATAACGTATTATAACAAAGAACAATGTTATTGAAAAACATACATATATTTTATTGAGTTGAAATAATTGAATTTTCTTTTGTATTCTCTTTTTTAATGTCATCTTCTGATTTTTTATGTAACGCACATAAAACTGCAGATATTAACATCCCTGATAGCCAAGCATGTTTTGCAAAATCATGTAACTTAATGCTGAGCAGAAGTTTTGGACTAGTTGTTACTAAAAACGTAATGCATAATTATAAGTAATCAACAATACGAGGAAATTTGTGACATTTTGTGTCAGCAGATTCAAAGTAAACGAAGAGCACCTGTTGCTCATTATGTTGTCAACAAAATAACTTCCATTCATGGAAAACTTTTTGCTTTGTCGTTCATTTTCGGCAACATAGAAGCAACAGACGGTAACAAAAGACACCGATGTCTGTATTTGTCGTATATGATCGTTACAAACTGTTGAAATATATTAATTTTATCTTATAATCCACAAAATAGCGAAAATGAACGACCGTCTTTTACAGAAGAAACACACCTTTATTCTGAGTCACATCAGACACAAGAAGAAATCGGCCGCTGCGTTCAGCAGAACTCAGCGCTTATCAAGCGCTTTTTTTAATCTATTTTTATCCATTGTTATAAGTACATTGCACTGCAATATTTTTAATAAAATAATAAATGAAATGTGTAGAATAGCTTGAGAGTAAGTAGATAACCATAATTACATTTTATTGTTAGTAAGGAACAAGCAGTTCACGCGGACTGAGTGCAACGGCAGCGAACATGAGATGGATAGTAGGATTCGAACTCGAGATCTTCATGTTCGCTGCCGTTGCACTCAGTCCGCGTGAACTGCTTGTTCCTTACTAACAATAAAATGTAATTATGGTTATCTACTTACTCTCAAGCTATTCTAATTTTAAGACAAAATATAGCGATACATACTCCAAATAAAAGAGAAATTGAGACAATTGGTACAGTACTTAGCACTTGAAAATTAATCTCTTCTTGGGAACTGAGAAATGCCTGAAAAAAGTGCTCTTCTTCCATTTCAAGAGATTATACAAAAAATATTCATGGAAATATTGTGTATTCTAAAGGATTTAAACAATAACGTCAGTGTAGTACACTTCTAAACTTCAAAAATACCAAAACAAAACAAAACTTATGCTTGATAATTGATGACATATTACAAGACATTGTTTAGTAAATTGGAATTTGAGTAAACAAACGTGTCTATGAAAACTTGAAATTTATATTATATATATATATATATATATATATAATCTTGAGATGGAAGACTGTAATATATACATATATATACATCCTGTATACATATATATATATCATATATCATTATATATATATGTATACAGGATGTCCCAGAATTGTAAGTGTAACATCTCTCGTAGGCAGGTAGAAAGAGTAAAACTGACTCGAAAAGTCCTATATACTATTTTATGGTATATAAGACTTAATCTTATATACAAATTAATCTTTGGAGGCCTGATTCAGTTTGCCGATTAACTGATTAACTTGATGAAAGGTATCGGGACCCGGGAAGAATCTTGAGATGGATAGTAGGATTCAAACTCGAGATCTTCATATTCGCAGCCGCTGCACTCAGTCCGCGAGACCGCTTGTTCCTTACTAATAAGAAAATGTAATTATGGTTATCTAGTTATTCTCAACTAATCTACACATTTAATTTATTATTTACTTAAATTATTACTTTATTAAAAATATTGCAGTGCAATGTACCTGTAACAATTAGGCAAGATTTGTAATAGTTACAAGATTTGTAATAGGACTGTCTTATGCGCGTGAAACAGCCCGATGCATGCTTATTCGTGGATCTTTGTTAATTAAGATCTCGGTAACTATTGTGTGAATTTCGCAAAATACTATAGGACTTTTTGACTCAGTTTTATTCCTTTTACTTGCCTACAAGAGATGTTACACTAATTCTGGGACACCCTGTATATATTCATCCGGTTTACAGACATATTGCATTTTTGCTAAAATTTATGACTCGGCACGTGTTGTTGACAACTTGTTATGTTGCTCTTTATGTTAGGTTAGTGATAAACCGTTGACAGCAAATACACGGCAAGGTGTCGGCAACACATGTTGACTACGTCTGATGTCAAACCAAAGACAAATGCCTGACTCATTTTGTTCAAAGTTTGCTGAAAACTCAAACGCTTTGATTTCGTCAACATGACAGCAAAAACACAGACAGATAACTATCAGGGATGTTCACAAAAATAAGTGTCTAAAAATGTTTTTTATCATTACGCAACGTCTGTTAGTGTCTCAAATCTGTCATTTGAGATAACATTCATGAAAACATGCTGCTGTTTAAAAATTTGTACATATATGCAAATACACTTGATCTAATGATAAACATTGAACACAAATATTCAAAATAAAAAAGTGTCAGTAAAAAAACTACTTGTTTTGAAGTCGAATTATATTTATAGTATACGATCATGATTTCAAGCTTCACTTTGCGCTTCTCTTTGCTGAGACACTAACAACATTATTCTATGACTTAGTTTAACATTATGATCTTTTAGGTATCTAATTAAGTCTGCCTGCTTCTCCAGAAGCTCTTCTAAGTCTATTCCTCTTTGATGATAACCGACCTCACCCATTCCAGCATAAGAATTTTGCGTAATCGGTGACATCCATTCGTCGCGAGTGACGTCAGGCGGTAGACGCAATCGATTGAATTGCATAACACTCTCTATATAAAAATTCCATTTTTTCAGTTAACTTTTTTTCTTTGATGGTCTCTAATTATCTACATCTTGGGTGAAATACTTACTGATGTAGTTAACATAAGCTGGCAAAATAATTACAAGTTCTATGCTAGTTAGTAGAAAGATGTAATTAAGGGGTGTAAACCATTCTGACATTCTGCAGTATTTCTCATAATCGACTTTATGTGTGTGATGTAGAATCACAGTTAAGAATAGGTAGCATGTGTTCCATAGCGACGTGATGAAGAAGGGTATTCTTATAAGCCGGTATGTTGTCTGATAAAAATCTAAATATCCATTAATACGCAACTTGTGATGCTTTGTCTTGACCAAGTGGTCTGCCACCATGACCACCAGCCAATAAGCACAGTGGAGATACAAGTATATGAAATATGTGTTGCATTTATTCTGTTCTTCTGGCCAGACAGATATAAAAATTATTCCAGTAATTTCCAAAAGCACCTACAATTAAAAAATATTCCAGTATTATATCTAATTCCAGTTCTTTAATAATTTTAAGACAAAATATAGCGATACATACTCCAAATAAAAGAGAAATTGAGACAATTGGTACAGTACTTAGCACTTGAAAATTAATCTCTTCTTGGGAACTGAGAAATGCCTGAAAAAAGTGCTCTTCTTCCATTTCAAGAGATTATACAAAAAATATTCATGGAAATATTGTGTATTCTAAAGGATTCAAACAATAACGTCAGTGTAGTACACTTCTAAACTTCAAAAATACCAAAACAAAACAAAACTTATGCTTGATAATTGATGACATATTACAAGACATTGTTTAGTAAATTGGAATTTGAGTAAACAAACGTGTCTATGAAAACTTGAAATTTATATTTTCATGTGTTGAAGGAAAATCAGAGTGAAATATTTATATATGGTTTGGTGCCCTTATGGCTAAGTAGAAAATATTTATATATGGTTTGGTTTGGTGCTCTTTTGGCTCAGTGGACCTATAAAGCTAGTCCATACGCCATTCTGTCTTTTTGATAACAGGTTTAAAACCGTGAATTGGGTTTCTGACGCCAAGCCACGAAGTTGTATATTTGTTTAAATTAAAGATAATAAAGAAACTGGTGTAAAACACCGACAATTGTCCAAAAATATTCACAGCGTAACTACGCACATCCAACCGATACGGCTGATGCAATCCAACTTGAATATTTATATATTCTTTTCTTGACATATATAAAGCCCCTTGCACACACAATGGACGGAATAGCGATAGCGATAGAAATAATACCAGTTGTAAAGAGTTTATATTTATAAATAACGGTAGAAACAGCGGAATCTAACATACAAAAATACACATGTATCAATGCAGATCAGAAAATCAGAATAAGCAATAGCGATAAAATTTCCGACGAGTTGGAATTCTGTGTCTAAAACTGTGTTATTTCTATCGCTATCGCTATTCCTTCCATTGTGCAAGGGGCTTAAGATGCAAAAAGTGTAAAGGCTATCATACATAAAATTACTTAAGACCGTAAAGCCTATGTCACACTACGGATTGGGATTGAGATTGGATTGAAATTTGACCAATCAAAAAAAAGAAAACCAATCCTACATTTAGTGATCTTTGCTCTGATTGGCCAAATTGCAATCCAATCTCAATCCTAATCCGTAGTGTGACATAGGCTTAAGACGTAACCGTAAAGGGTCGTCTACAATAGGTCTGTTTTTCTTGTATACACTTCGTACACTTTGGTGTAAAGTGTATACTTTAGCGTTCTTCTTGCCGGAAGTGACGTTGATTTACGTCATTACACGCTGTTCTTCTTGAAAATGTATTACACTTTATTGATGCAATTTACACTTGTTTTTTACACCTTCTTGAGAGGTGGTGTAAATCTAGTGTAACATTACACTTTTTCTTTGTTTATGTTTTGAATGTCATTTTAGGATTCAGTTGGATATCAGGGGGTCCAAACTCGTCTCTTGTGAGAAGAGGAACGCTGTTTTCAGCGCCGCCTGGGCTAGGTCCCCGGAAGTAGTAAACTAAAGAACGAGTGGTGGGAGATACCGCCATATTTAAACCGTCGCACGTGCGTGCCAGTATAGGTATACTTATACAGCGAATTCGATAGCCTGTACCAGTACGCATTGAGTGCGACTTTTTTAATAAAACTTTTTTTGGAAGTTTCATTGAAAAAATCGCATTCAGTGCGCACTAGTGCAGACTACCGAATCTGCTGATCTAGATATTGAAAGTAAAGTTAGATATTTTCTGAGCGATATCACAAAGTTTAAATGTTATTATCGGTACATAAAAAATGTTTTATAGTTATTATACAAACTATTTCAGAATTATAATCATAAAACAATAAATAACATTCATTCAAACTTAACCACATCGCTCAGAAATT